TTTTTTTTTTTTTTTTTTTTTTTTTTTTTTTTAAAAAAAACTACTTCTTATTCATACTTCGATTTTCTCTAGTGAGACATTGTTTCGAAATTACAGCAGAATAGGAAAAGCAATAAGGCAGAGACATAAATATAATGAAACACATATGCAACAACAAAGGTAACAGAGCAATGGTTTTTTGAAGAGCGCCTGGTCAAGAGGAGAAGTGCTGGAACCATAAATGTAAGTAAGTGTCGATGGTGTTATGCCTGATTGAATTGAGCCGGTTGGTCCTAATATCCTGATCCATACCATACAACTTTGCCTTTAAAATAATCTTGATCTCCTTAGTAATGAGCTGAGAGTGTCTAGCCACTGAAGTATGCAATCTTTTATTTCTCTCATTCCAAATTGCATAGAAGACAGCCTGTGTAATTAACTTGCAAATTATTCTCAATTTACCAGGTGGAGTTGAGTGATGCATCCATCTGATAACGTCGTCAAAGGAGTATGGCTGATTGAATCCACCTTGACCAAAGAAGGAGTCCCAAATGTCCTTAGAGAACGAGCATGATAGGTAAATATGATCTCGAGTTTCATCTGCTACACTACAAAGCAGACAAGTTGATGGGACACTCATTCCCCAACTTAAGAGCCTGTCTCTTGTGGGGAGCCTATTCCGAACCGAGACCCAAGCATGAAAAGCATGTTTTGGAATTCCTTGTTTGAACCAGATAGAGTTAAACCACGGTAGAGCTGGCGGCGAAGGGTGTAAGGCTTCCCATGTTTTTGAAGCTGAGAACTGACCAGGAACAGTGTTAGGAGCGGTGCTCCATAGAAAAAAATCTTCAGAGTCGACGATAAGATCTGGAGGCTGGACCGGAAGACACGCTCTTAGCAGCTGAATGATTCTATGCCTACCTCTTGTCAACGTCCAATTTCCATCTCTAATGGCCTGAGAAACCGAACTTAATACAGATATTCCAGAAACTCTAGGACCGTTTGCACCTGTTATCTCAAGAAGCGGTCCCAAACCTGTCCAGTTGTCATGCCAAAACAAGGCAGTCTCACCTGACTGCACGATGCAAGACAGAAATGGCCTAGCTAATGGTCTTAAATTCATCAAACCTCTCCACAACCAAGATCCTGAATTTGAAAAATCAGTAACCCAGAACAACCTATCTCCAATTAAGTGTTGCTTAACCCATGCGACCCAAAGAGATCCAGTTCCCGCAAAAAGCAGCCATATCAACTTCAAACCAAAAACCTGATTTGAGTCTTCTAATCGTCTCAGTCCCAAGCCCCCAACCTTCTTCGGGGTACATGCGGACTCCATTTTGAGCCGTAACTTGACTTGACACTGTATGCAAAATTAATACCAATGCTTATTGCTAAACCTTAAATGTAATATAAAATGACAGGATATCGTGCAAGACTGCAGCAAGGATCATCAAAATTAGGGGAAAAAAAATAGAAGTGACGTGAACTCGATTACTACTAAATTTTATAATGAAGGGATGATAGTGTGACAATGCTGTGGGAAAATGATAAAAACACAGGATGAACATGATCGTTAGATTTTTCGAGATCAACCGGCAGATCCGACACGCATCCGACCATCGAGCATGCACCCTATTTAACACACTCTGTCTGGCCGAACCACCACAGCTGATTAAAAAAAAAAAAAAAAGTCTGTTTAACACTCCATTTAAGTAAAAAGGGTATATTCAGATCCAATGGCTAAGATCTGTTTGTACACTTCGTAAAGAAAGTGGACCCCATTGAGCTCAGAAAAGTCCACTTCAGATTGTAAAACTCAATCATATTCGAACTTCCAGAATTACCCCTGTTCAGAGAAATTGTATTACGCAATCATAGAAGCACGGAGATATAAATAATTCTCACAATAGCTTGAAAATATTTGTGTTCATTTTCAATAATAACAAAATATGTGGCTACGTCATTTCTAACTAAATCAAGCAATATTTATTATTATCGCGGATAGAAGTAGTTATTCTCATTAGTATTTTTCATCGCCATATGAATAAAAAAATCCATTCCAATGTAATTGTGAGATGTAGGTAAAAAAACTAGATAAGAGAGTACCTAGAAAATAAAAGAAAGTATATAAATACAGTTTACTTGATAACATAACTTATATATTAACGTTAAAAGAAGAGAGGGTAACAGGGTCATTTAACAAGATTGCTTGCGGTATAAAAGAGCGCGCTTCTTGAAGCGTATGAGTTTAGCAAAGCCAAAGGCCAAGGAGAAACACACACACTCTCTCTCTCTCTCTTTGAATTTTATTTGAGAGATGTAATGATCGGATAAACTATATTTCAAAAATCAAAAAAAAAGTCTTCTCTGGTTCTTCCCTTTGGGGGGTATTGCTGTTTGATGATGGGATTTTGCATCTGTCCGTTAGAATCTCCGGCGAGATTACTATGGAGTACAAGCTTCTTCCGCCATAAGATCATCATCTTCTAAACCCTTTTGGTCTCGCTCTTTCTCTTACTTTGAACCCAATCCTCTCTCTCTCTGTCTCTCTGTTTCGTTGTCTTTTTTTTTTCTTTACATCTGTATTTTCTTCTGGTCAATCCATGGAATCCAATTCGTTTTTCTTCGATCCTTCTGCCTCCCATGGCAACATGTTCTTCCTCAATCCCGCCGTTCAAGGTCTTCTTTTTTTTTCTCTCACTTCATTCTCTGTTTAGTGTAACAGAGTTGCAATTTTTGAATTTTGGTTTAATCTGAATTTTTATACGTTTTTTTGTTCCCAAGGAGGAAGATCGATGATGAACATGGAGGAATCATCATCAAAGCGAAGGCCCTTCTTTTGCTCCCACGAGGATCTCTACGACGATGACTATTACGACGAGCAGACACCCGACAAAAAGCGTCGCCTCACTACCCAACAGGTTTCTGTTTTTTTTTTTTTTCCTTCTCCTATCTTTATCTAATAAGAGTCTTTTATTAGAATCAATATGATTGCACTATGTCTCAGGTGCATCTGCTGGAGAAAAGCTTCGAGACGGAGAACAAACTGGAGCCTGAGCGCAAGACTCAGCTTGCTAAAAAGCTTGGTCTTCAGCCAAGACAAGTTGCTGTCTGGTTTCAAAACCGCCGTGCTCGTTGGAAAACCAAGCAGCTCGAGAGAGACTTCCATCTTCTCAAGTCAACGTACGACCAACTCCTCTCTAACTACGACTCCATCCTCAAGGACAACCATCTGCTCAGATCCGAGGTCTTTACTTTCCTGATTAATAATAATATATGAATAATTAGTGAATCTATTTTTTTTTTATGCCTTATTGGTCCAAAGGAGCAAAAGCATCAAATGAAAAAAAGAGGATATGCTTTTCCTTTATTTTTCAACACGATCAGAAAGAGACATTAGGAATCAAAATCAATCATCGAATTTAAAGTTATAATATTAGTATCTTCTTATGTATGGGAGGTTGCTTGTGTTGACCCTTGTGTGATTAAAAAGTTAAAAAAAGAATCTTTCTCTGTTTTGTTTCCACAGGTGACTACCTTAGCCGAGAAGCTCCAAGCCAAAGAAGAGACAAGTAACGAGCCACCGGGTCAAGTGCCCGAAGCAAACCCCCATCAGCAGCAGCAGCTTGATCCGGTGAACATGAACCAGATCGAACCGCCAATTAAAACAGAGGACAGGCTGAGTTCAGGGAGTACGGTACTAGACGAAGACGCACCTCAACTACTAGACTGCTGCGACTCTTACTTCCCAAGCATCGTACCCATCCACCAACCGGAGGAACATAATAACAACGCCAGTGATAATCATCAGAGTTGTTTAGTCGACGTCTTTGTGCCCACCACTTCGCCGCCCCACTGTCACAGTGAATCATTGGGATTCTGGGGCTGGACTTGAAAAGTTAAGCCAAATAACTATGTTTATGTTTATGTGTGTTTATCAAAGTACAGTCATGTTGTTTCCATGTTGACGTAATGCCGCTATAATTTGTGGAGTGATTCCACGGAATTTATCAGTTATTATATAAACGTTTGCGAAAACGTATGTTTCGTTAAGTTCATTGGCTATCGTACCTATTCGAACGAACTTATACGAAGAAGAAGAAAGATTGAAGCCTCTCCTAGTTAATCCATTCACTGTTTATAGAGCGAAAGAGATCTATAAAGAATCCAAAGTTTCCGTTATAACATCAATCAGCTCATGTCTAAAAAAGAAGCAGCTTCTCCTAATACTACTACTAGGTAAGTTCCACATTAGTTTGTCTTCTACATATATATGTGTGTGTACACGCACACATACTCTCTTCGCTCATCCACCTGTTAGACCCACTTTCAACCTCACTTTTCTTTTGATGAACCACCAAAACAGATCTAAACATCCCCAGCTCCGCTTCCAGACTGAAACATTCCCTATATCTATACTTACACACATTGATTGGCTCCACTTTGATTTAACAAAAACAAAGGCCACCATTTCCGTTTGCATGTTCTTGCACGCTGAAGCTTATCTACTTGTGTGGCTTCAAGTAAATTTGTTATGATCCCTCAGGTTCTTTCCTTTTCTTACCAGACCTTCTGTTAGCTCTGCTGCTTCTTTCCTGTGGATCTGTTACCGGTTGTAATTTCTGCTCTTGCAAGCCTATCGCCTTTGTCTCATCCATAGGATCTGACTGTCTTATGGTTTTATCGTACATAATCGCTGCATCGAGGGAGAAGATGTGAAGGGATAGCGCAGAGAGCGTCGAGATTTTAGCAGCAGCTGATAGAGACGACCAGTACCACCATTCATTTTTCAAGTACTCTGTCTTTATCATGTCTTCTACTACAATTGCTGCCTGAACTAACTGAAAATCAAGTACCAAAGGCATACACATTAGAGATTCCAGATTATGTTGTACTAGATTAGAGAGGAGTAAAAGGTATATATTAATAATTAAACCTCGAAAATGCTTTGAGCCGATTTAACAAAACCACGCCAAGCTCGTCTACGTTCTGGATGTGATTTTGATGGTCTTAAAGCTTCTTCAGGTAGCGCCACATCCATATCAAGCAAGTTGCTTTTAAGGAACCTGAAAACCGGCAAAGCTTTGCCAGTAACACGTTTCAAGGAAGCCTGTGGAACCACACAACAGCCTTTCAACCCACTACCTGTAGATTTTTTGTTCTTTTCCTCTGAGTTGTCAAATCCCATTCCGCTCAGTTTATTCAGCGGATTGCCAGGATCATTTGTGACAGATCTGTCCAATGATTCAGAATTCAAGCCTTCACCATTGGCTTCAGAACCAGTAAAAATCACCTGATCCCGTGAAGCACCACCATCTAGCTTATTGCAAGTGGCCGATATGAGCATTGAGTCGTTAAGATGAATAGATGGCAACGGAAGAAATGTTGGACTTCCATTTGAACTGATCAGACCAATCTCTTTAACCAAATCTCTGTTCGAATCCTTTGTCACAAACTTGGAGCAGATCTCCTCAAAATGGTATGGGGAAATAGATTCTTCTTCTTGATATCTTATCAACCGAGAACCAAGTTCAGAAGCATTGGATATTTCAGACTTATCTTTGCCAGCGCTAGACTTTACACTAAGATGATCAGATTTCAGGCTTTCTTTTGCTTTTGAAGAATCAGATTTTTCTTTGCCTTCTTCAGTTGCTAATGAATAAGGAACACACTTACTCTCGGCGTGCTCCTCAAATTCATCATCACTTGCAAATGTTTTGTGGCATATGAGGCAGTGAATCATGGATGGCAAAATGGATTCCAAGCATTCGCATCTACACAGTTTCTCTCGCTCTGCAACCTTTGTCTTCTTCCCCCGCTTTTTATATGTTTCAATCTCTAGTTTGATGCATGGACCATATCTCTTCTCCATTGACATGGCAGCCTTCGTCACAAGATTTCCAGCCAATACTGGAGAAGACGAATTCTCAGTTTGTTTGATTTCCCTTTGAAGATCCCCGAATCGTAACCTTTTCCAGTACAGAATAGACTCTCTCAAGTCTCTTTCTTTTGGGTCATCATCATGAAGCCATAGGACAAGCTCGCTGATCTCCGCTTCAGTTTCATAATATGTCCAGGGTGACACCATTAGTCTTCCATGGTCAACGGCATGGAGAAATGGGGAGGGAACCTTTGAACCTGTCAAATCAACTTGTATAGATTTCTGCAACGACATGCTTCCATCAACCAAAATACGAGGATGTTCTTCTGCAAAGTAGCAACCCCAATATAGACGACCACTAGCATCACTTCCCAGAAAGTCTCTTCGTATAGACTGCCTTAAAATCTGTGATTCTATGCTTCTGATTGATTGCTGCAGATTCTGTATTTCATTGCCAGTGGCATTCAAATCCTGTTGACAAGCCTGCAATTCCTGGGAAGCCAAAGAAGATGCATCATGTGCTGTCTTCAATTCCACCGTATTGGGTTTTATAGAGTGTGTTTCATGGTTCCTTCCAATTGATTTGTCCAAGGTCTCTGTGGTATCTTCTCTTTCACAAGACATATGATCCGTCAGCTCTACTGGCAACTCGTTCCTTCTAGGGGATGTAACCTTTTCTGGGGTGGGAATTTTGTTCTCACTGGAAATGACATGTGACCCTCCAGTCTGAGCATCGGTCTCAAGCGGAGCCTTCCCCTGATTATTGTTAAGAAATGCAGCAGAGGAAGTGTCATCATCATGAGGAACCCTGTCTCCAACACCCTCCTGTTGTTGATTACGTCCACGGTGGTCTACAAAGCTACTTGAATTTTGTGGTTCGCCCATTTCCTTTAGAATACTAGGTTCAACCTTTGCGAGTTTAGCCGTCAGAAACTCTTGCCGCATTTTTGTATTTTTCCATTCTGAGGAAAGAGACCGCAACTTCTGCTGCATTTCAATTAAGGCTTCGGCACATTGCTCGAGGTGTTGATGAACAAGGGATGAGCTAAGCAGTTCATCGCATAGAAGCTTAAGCAGCAGGATCCTCTGCAATAAAACAAAAGGAAATTGATCAGATTACCAACAGCAGCAGGCCCATCTGCTTGTACTAATTTTAAGACAAAGAGAGCCACAAAATATACTTTTTGCACTAGACTTTAGTCATTTGACTCAATTTAACCGGAATTCTATACGGTAGAAAAATAAATATCTAAAGACTTTCTTCCGTCGAAAAGATAACTTAATCCACAGCATGTGCAAGTGTCAAATATAATAAGTGTCGTAAATCATATGCTAAAGATCACAACAGGACAATATAATCATGATATCATCTCCAAAATGAAAAGGAAAAGGTGACACATTTCAAAAGAATGACCAAAAATGAGAGAAGAGATTCAAAACTTACCTCCTCAGCACTGAACTCCCAGTAGTCTTTTTCTTCCATCACATCTACCAGGCGAGCAGTTGTTTCCATAGAAGCCCGGGTAAGTTCTCCCTGATACTTTCTACCTTTCGGCCGTCTGACTAGTTTGTTCGATTCCAAAGCATCCTGGGCCATGCGCTTGGCAATGACACATGAGGGACAATACCAGTTTCCATCAGGAATTCTAATAAGGGGGGGATTCAAACAATATGTGTGATACTCCGCATCGCATGTATCACACAAGAGAACACTGTCATCATCTTTGTCAACGCCACATATTTTACATACCCCCTCATCCCACGGGGCCTTGGGAAGCTTATTTACTGAAACAACAATGTCCTTAATTTCCTTCCTCATCTCTGCACTTAGACATTCCAATTTTCTGTAGTCCGTAAGTTTCTGAACAAGTGGTAGAACCTATACCAGCAAACAAATAGAGGCTTGAAACTTGAGAAAATAATTGCACAACTCCTGGAAACTATTTTCATAGAAAAAGGATAACATGCACACAACTCCTGGAAACTGAAAGGTAATACACAACTATAATTTTACACACACACAAAAGGAAAAACCTTTCGAAAGCATCTAACTCTGATCTCAAAAGCCTATAACTTTCACTAACTATAAGCCTTAACAAAATTTGTTTGATAGGACTGTCTCGACCATTTGACTTCACGAGGCTAACTAAGCTGTGAAAATATCACGTAGCAGAAAAGGAGAAAAAGACAAACCTCAGCTTCGTATAGTGACTTAAATTTTTCAGACAATGTTCCAACCAGTTCTAGAGAATCGGGATGATCCGCATACATAACACGTATGCAACTCCACAGCTGCAAATCAGAAAGTGAAAATTAGAATGTCATCCATGAAACAAGAAAAAGTTGCATGCATAAATAAAACGGAGTCCAGGAGTATACGATCACAATGAAATTCAAAAAATAATTCAAGCATGTACTGTCAGACTCGATTCTTCGACTTCTAATCATAGCTTAAATGTTATCCAGCAGCTGAGCAGCTGAATTTCTGGGTGTTCAACACTTTTCATTCATGCATCTACATGAGAAACTAACAGCACATAGATGCAATACCGAGAATGAAAATATATCACTTTTAGAAACTAGTCCTCATATCGCACAAAAAGCATCATGCCATCAATTGTACAGAAAAATCAGACAAAGAGGGAAAATATTACCTCATGAATATCCTCGAGAAGAGCTTCAGTTGATCCGTCATACGCACCAACAGCCAACCTCAAATCAATAGTTCTAAAGTCCAAGGGCCGCGAAACCATTGCAGGTGATCCCAAGAGTCCGTCATCATCATTGTCATTTAAATTCAGTAACTTTCGCCCCAATAAAGTGCAAAACACTTTATCCTCGTCTACAGCTGCAACATCACGCAACACAGCACGACATTTCTTCATAATGACATCTGATACACCAATAGACGTCTTCTTTTTGGTTCCTTTGACAGACTTCTGCACCAAATCTCCACCTCGAACATCGGCTAGCAATGAGAGGACAGCTTTCTGCATTCAGTAAAAGGAAATAATATCACATGTCATCAGACTGAGACTACATCACCGGGAGAACAAGAGACAGAAAAGGGAAATCGAGAAACAAGAACTTTCCAATTTACGCAATTCAAAATTTAATGTACTTCAGGAGGGAAGAGAATTGGTTTTAGAGATTGA